TTCCTGCTCCCAAATGTGTGGTTTTCTCCCCCAAGGAAAAAGCAGGCCCAGCCTGAGCTATGAGAGACCTGTGGTCAGGTGTGACCTATCTGATGTATGTGTGCCCCCCAGATCCTACACCAGCTCATGGTCCTGGCAGCTGAGGCCTTGCCTGTCCTAGAGAAGCAGCTAATGGATCCCCGGGGTCCTGGGGACATCAGGGTAAGCCCCGGGCCCAGACTGACTCCAGGGGCTCTGGGGACTCCAGGGGCTCCATGGAAGTCTGGAGCTCTAGGGGCCCTTGTTTGGTGAGACTGAATCCAGAGAAGGCGTTGCAGCTGCCCACGGCGCCTGGCAGTCGGGGAGCCTGCAGGAGAGTCGGGGCCCTGGCTTCGCGCTTCTACCCTACGCTCCTCCTGGGGACCCAAGCTGCCACCAGCTGGGTCTTGTTGTTCCTGCCTTCAAATGAGCATTTGGGCCCATAATGGGTGGGTCAGACAAAAGGGAAGGAGGGAACCAGAGTGGGCATGTGGAGGGGTTTGTGGTCCAGTTCCCAGCTCCCAAGTGGGCACTGCTGAGCACCCCCTACCCCTCCTCAGACAGTGTTCCGGCCACCGTTGGACATGTACGACGTGCTGATCCGCCTGTCTCCCCGCCACATCCCCCGGCACCGCCAGGCTGTGGACTCGCCAGCTGCCTCCTTCTGCCGGGGCCTGCTTAGTGAGCCGGGGCCCTCCTCCCTGATGCCCGTGCTGGGCTACGATCCTCCTCAGCTCTACCTGGCGCAGCTCAGGGTAGGTCCTCAAGGGCTGACTGACCCTGGCAGGGGACATCCAGATGGAGCTGGGGCCATGGAGGTGGCTCTCAGGTGTCCACCTGTAATCTTGTCTCTGTCCTGCCCTTTCCTAGGAGGCCTTTGGGGACCTGGCCCTTTTCTTCTATGACCAACATGGTGGAAAGGTGATCGGTGTCCTCTGGAAGCCCACCAGCTTCCAGCCCCAGCCCTTAAAGGTGAGCTGGCTGGGGACAGTTGTCTGTTCCTGAGTGTGTACATGTGTTCCACATGGGCACGCGTGTCTGTGTGTGGTTCCACGAGTGACCCAGTGGCAGGTGTGAAACGTGTGTTTTGGTGTCTCTGCGTGTGCCTCTCGTGACACCTCCATCTACACTTCTCTGATTCTTTCAGGCCTCCAACACAAAGGGGCGCATGGTGGTGTCTCAGGGTGGGGAGCTGGTGATGGTGCCCAATGTAGAAGCCATCCTGGAGGACTTTGCCATCCTGGGCGAAGGCCTAGTCCAGGCTGTGGAGGCCCGAAGTGAGAGGTGGACCGTGTGACCTCCAGCCCAGGTGCAAGCTGTAGATGGACAACAGGACTGCAGACCTCTGGAGCAAGATGTCAATGCCTTGACCACCCTTGCTGCATATGGACCTTCCAAGGAGGGCTTGCTGGCCTGAGCATGCTGAATCATCCCCAACAAAGCCCTGTCCCAATTTTCTGTCTGATGCCCCAGCATTGGGGCAGGGGCCATGGTGTCCTGTGGAGTCCCCTTGTCCTGACCAGAAGAGGACTGGGCGCCAGCTCAGAGGGGACACTGAATGAACCCAGGAGATCCATCTACTTGTCAGCCTGGCCTGGCCCTTTTTTTATTTTTTCCTTCCCAGGCTGCTCCCAGAAGCCCGGAGAAGAGGCTGTGTGCCCAGGGCTGAGGCTCTGTCCCCACCCCTCTGCCAGGATGTGTGCCTCGACCTCAGTATGCCCTTCGGTGCATCGTCAGGCCTTTTAAATGGGGCTCAGAGAAGGTGTGGCACTCCCTGAGAGTCACAGAGCACCAGCACTGAGCAGTGGAGAGGGGGCTACGTGGGATGAATACACCGCATTGAAGGGGCACAACGCCCTCCTGTGTTGGTTCCGCTGCATCCCGGGGTGGGGACAAGGAAGGGGCCGGGTGGGTGAAGGGGTGAGGGGGACTGGTGGTCCCCCATCCAGGAGAGATGCAGAAAGCACTGATTGCTGCCCTGGCCTCCGGTGTCTGAGCCCCTCAGGCTCTGTGCTCCTGCAGTGGTGGTGCAGAGGTGAGTGGGACCCAAGACCTGCTCTCCAGGAGCTCCCAGTGCCCTGGGGGAGGGGGTGCTGCTTCCTTTCAGACTGGTCCACACCCCGCTTGCAGCAGCCTCTCCCTAATCCTGGCTGTTTTTCCAGACTCAGCTCAGTGACTCCTCCTTAAGCCCTTCCTCGCCCTCAGCCTAAGGTGCGCTTTCTCTACTCTGAAACATTAGAGCAATTACTGCCTGTTCATTTCTCTTTGCAGTCACGTACAGTGGCATGAACTCTCTTGTTTTAAACTGTGATTTAAAATTAAATCATTTAATTTCTCTATGTTATTGGCTTGTCTGCCTTTTCCGCATGGTTTTGACCTTGTCTCCTAAATGTAAGCTCTTTGAGGGCAGGAAACATATTTGAACAGATTTCATGGCACCTAGTACAGTGCCCTGCCCAAGTAGGATACAGGTGTGTGCAGAAGGGGCACCTGGCCCAGGCAGATGGAGGACAGGGCAGGCCACCAGAAGACTTCAAGGAAAAGAGAATCATGGTTTGTGATCTCTGCCTAGAATGGGTAGGGTTTTGATGGTGAAAGGCTTGAGAAAAAGTTGATGTTGGGAATTGCTTGGCAGTCCAATGGTTAGGATTCCACACTCTCACAGCTGAGGGCCTGGGTTCAGTCCCTGGTCGAGGAACTAAAATCACTCAAGCCATGCAATGCAGCCAAAAAACAAAAAAAGGTTTATTGAGTGCCTGCCTAATAAGATACCCTTTGTTATTTTCCATATCTTACATAAGGAAATTGATCATATAATCATACCAGCCCTTTTCCTTGTTATCCTCATTTTCTGAATGAGGTCAAGTTCAGCTGCAGGTGGGGGCCTGTTTGTAGAGGGACTTGGATGCCTGGCTATCTGGCTTCATCCTCAAGATGCTTAGCCACACATGGGAACTCTGGTTTCCAATTTTGTCCCAATTCTGTTAGTCTTTGTGAACCGACGCCAGTCCCTGCCTGTCACTGTCATGGGACAGCTTGGCCTGGGGTTGAAATTAGTATAGGGAATACACTGATTGGCTGTGTGAACTGAGGTCTGTGTCCATCTCTCTCCCTGTGCCATTCATTCATGTACTCCAGACCTCAGTGTGCCAGGCTGTATTTTCAGTGAGATACAAGAGATGCAGTCCCAGCGCTGTGGTCGTCCCTGGCTTCTCAGCTTTCCTTTTTCTTAGTCCCTCACATGTGGCAGTCCCTCTGTGGACTCTGGGGAGGGGCAGGGGGTACAGGCTGGTTTCAAACCATCCCGTTTCATCCCAGGGTCAGCTTCAGGCTCGTAGCTTCCTTCACAACTCCAGTGCAGGGAGCGTGTGGGATCTGCCCCCAGGTAAGCTCGTGGCTCCAAGAAGTGCAGATACCAGTCCCAATCAGGGGAAATGAGCCTTGGCCCTGCTACCTCCCCATGTGGTCCTGGGCAAGTCACTTCCCCTTGCTGGGCTCAACCTCCCCATCTTTAAAATGGGCATGAAAAAAAAATGGACATGATAGGGACTTCCCTGGCGGTCCAGTGCTTAGGACTCTGTGCTTCCACTGCAAGGAGCATGGGTTTGATCCCTGGTCAGGGAGCTAAGATCCCTCAAGCCATGCAGTGTGGCCAAAAAAAAAAAAAAGAAAGAAAGAAAAGAAAGAAGCCATGATAATGGCTTTGTCAGGTGCCAAGTGTGGCAAGGGAAGAGGGCAGATGACTCAGAAGCCCAAGGAGGTACATCTGCCATGCTTTCTGCACTCCCTGCTCCAGCTTGGGGTGTGGGGTGAGGGGAGCACGAAGTCCAGGCTCCGATTTCAATGCTTGCTCCAACCTGTTTTCCTTGGATTTTCTCTGGGAAGTAGGTGAGGAGGCTGGTGTGGTCTAACATGACCCTGGGGGAGAGGGGACATGAGGAGCTGGAACCTCAGGGGAAGAGAAGGACGGGAGCCTAGGAGGAACTCCTGCTGGAGCGAGGATGTGCAGGGGGATGTGTGTTACAGCGCCGCCACACGTGTGGCTGCCCCTGTGGGCCTCTGCGTTTGCAGGTAGACATGGATGGGGCGGGAGGCTGTGTGTGATGTATGGTGTGATCTGTCTGCTCTGTGTGTGTTGGAGTCGGGTGTGTGCACATCTGTATATAGTAGTCTGCTTGTGCAGGTTTTTGCCTCCAGCTCTGGGTTGCTGTTAAAGGCAAAATCTGCTCTGTTTTTAAAGAGCAAGTCAGGAGGAAAAGCTCTCAGGAGGCAGGAACTCGATTCCTTCCTATAAACTTAAATGGATGTAAATAAAGGCCTCCCCTTCTTGGGGCTTCAGTTTCCCCAGTTCTGTCAGACCTCCCAAGCCTCTCTATGTAGTCACATTCAGTGAATTCTCAAAGGGTCCTCTCTTCGGGCTGTGCTAGCTGAGAACCTCCTCTAAACCAGAATCCTTTTAGCTGAAGACCCTATTTTCCTCTGCCCAGCTCCTCACTTTGGAGAAAAAGAGAAAGACCCCAAAGCCCAGGGGTCCTTGCAGCAGGTTACATTCAGTGAAATCCTGAGGGCTGCTCCATCCCTGACCTAGTAAGTCAGATTGGGCTAGTCTGAGGCCCACCACTTCCACCCCAATAAATATGCACCTAACCCCCTCAACATCTGGTACTCGCTTTGTGAGTCACAGATTAATCTAGGTGAGCGATAAAGATAAAGGGGAGGAGAAGCCTGGGGCACGTGAGTCACCCCCACCTTCCTCAGGAAAGGCCAGCCTGCCCATCTCTCTGCTGCAGAGAGAAGGTGGCATCTTGGGGGAACTAAGGGGGACAAGAGTGTTCCAAACCCAGAGGGAGACTCACTTCCCTCTCCCACTTCAGTTTCTGGAAGAGGGATGGAGAGGATAATTTTTCTGGTTTGCAAGAGGCCCAGAGAGGTGTAGGAACTTGTCTAGGGTCACACAGGGAGTTACAGAGAATCTATGTATCCTGGCTGCAGGCCTTGCTTCTGAGCCTGGGCTTTCCTGGGGCTAAGGGGTCGGGTGATGAGGAATAAAAGAGTAGAGAGGCCGGAGCTCTGGCTCTCTCCAGTGAGGCGGGGAGGAGTGAAAAGCCGGGCCCCTCCCCTGTCCTGGGCTGACTGCCAGTCTTGCCCCTTCCCTTCTGCGCAAGGCAGCAGAATGAAGCTGTTATTAGACCCAGGGGAGCAAGGTCAAGGATAGGGGTAGCGGGTGGGAGCGTGAGCATTCTGGTCCACCGCAAGCCTATGTCTCTGTCTCCCTGTCTGGGAGCTCTCCTCTGTTCTCCCAGACTAGAAACCTCCACAGAACAGAGCTGGGGTCTCCTAGAGACTGACGAGGCCAAGGTTGGACCCTGACTGAGGGGTCATTGAGGGGCATTGAGACCCAGATCCTGTTCCACCTGATGACCAAATGGTTTGGATGAAAAAGATAGATGTGATATCCTGGCCTTTCCCCAGTCTCCCTCTCCACTGCCCCAAGGTCTAGAGATGCTCAGGAAGTCATTCCTGAAGTCTGACTGCAGAATCTCCTGCTTCGGGCTGTCCTCTCCTCTCGATCCTTCCCCTGAGACTTCTCTCCCTTAGGGCCAGCAGTGGGTGGCTGCCCTGTAATTAGCACCCAGACTGGGCTTGGATGAGGGGAGAGTATATTGGGGCTCATACATACCCATCACCTTTCTGGAACACCAGATGCAGAGCCTTCCACCACCTGTCCTCCCACAGCCACCTCCAGACCGCAGGCCTCTCAGAGAGCAGTTGTCCTGGGCCCCACCCAGATTCAGGTTCCTGTCTACGCAATTCCGCCTGCCTTCAACCTCAGCTTCTTGCCTACCTGCCCTGCCCATTCTGCCTCCTAAATCCCAAATCCAAACCCTCTCATCATGGTGTACCAGGTCACTTTGTCTCCAGACTCCTCAACAGATCCCCACCTCCTATCTCTGGCTTTTATAAATACTGAACCCAGACCCACAGCCAAGCCCAGATAGGGATACACACAGATATGCACACAGAACCCCAGGGTCGCCCACATGTACAAACAGACCTCCATGGGTACATGCATACACAGAGCCAACAACGCACATGGATACGCACGACATTCATACAGGAGGAAACGTGACTCATTAACGAGGCAGCTTCTGGAATGAACCTTTCCTTCTACATTGACTGTAATACAGTTTTCAAAGCCTGAAACATCCGTAATCTTGTCTGATTCTTACAGGGGCCCTGGGTGTGTGTGTGTTGGAGGGGACTCCACCTGAAACCTGCAGGCGACTGATGAAACTG